AGGTACCCTTACTGTTGGAAATCTAGTAATGGTGAATGGACTGCTTTTTCAGCTTTCATTACCCCTGAACTTTCTGGAAACTGTATACAGAGAGACTAGACAAGCACTCATAGATATGAACACCTTGTTTACTATACTCAAGGTAGACACCCGAATTAAAGACAAAGTGATGGCATCTCCCCTTCAGATCACACCACAGGTGATTTTTTTCTTTGAGGAAGTGATATGGTGTGTATTGAGTGGGGCCATTTGGCTTTGCTTCTGGGTGTCAATGGCGAAGACTCTTTGATTTCCTTGGTTATAGTCTGTTTGGCGGCTTTCTCAAAGGAGGTCGTAGTTAGCAGCATACAAGGTGGGTGAGTGGCTCATGGCCTCCTGGTTAGCTTGGGTGTTGTGGGCACTGATGGTGGCAGCAGTCAGAAAAAGCTTGCTTCCTTCCTGAGCACCATGCACTTGTGTCAGCAGGTGTTGTAAAGGGCTGTACAGGTTGACCTCCCAGACAGTAGGTGAGCTTGTAGGTGAGAGCGCTGTGGTAGTGGCAAGAGGGTTTATGTCTGGTGATCTGTGCCTTCCTAGAAATAATGGTTTTCTGTTCTGGTATGGTTTTTCATTTTTTCATGAAGTTATTTTTCAAATACATGGGATTTTCATAAATAATAATGTAATAAAACTTGTACCAGTGCACTGCCAAGAGTGAGACAATGGCAGCAGTTTGTCCAGGTGGAGGCAATAAGGCATTGCCTGTAGATAATTTTAAAACAATAATAAAACCAACTAAAGTTGCTCCGCTTTATATTACACCTTTGCAGTCACTATTCTAAGTAATGTCAGTCACAACGTACTCCTCCCCACTTCATACACAAAAATCTTTTGTTGGTCTAAGTTACTATTCCTGCAGTTACCATTGTCTTTTAATAACGTATCTGTAATATTCAAATTAGCACATTTTTATTACTTAAACTTTAGTAAACATATTCTACCTGGAAGCTAATTCAAATAACTCTCTTAAATAGGTGGCATTGCACATTTCAGACTCAACTACCAGCTAAGCGACTTATTTTAACAATTAACAATTGCTGATTGGACAGTAAGAACTTGGAATCTCCAGCTCATTTCAGGACTTAGTTCATTTCTCTAACTTCTACAGTACTACTTTTGTCTTACTTTGAAACAACAGATTATGAATAAACAATGACAGTATAGTGACTAATGATAGAAAAACAGAATTGACTTACTTCAATTCCATCTCTGTTGCCACTGGAGTGTTTATGTGTGTTTAAAGCTAAATTAGTAAAACAATTTGTGAGGTGTAATTTTTTGTATTTGGTAAGTACACATTTTAGTGTATATGTAAAATGAATATGAATATTTTCATTGAATATTTTATTGAAAAATATCTTTAAAGTTGAAGTTTAATTGTTCTTTGAATATTTATTAAACTAGAATATAATTATGCATTGCTAAAACAGACCAACATGTAGGTACAAGTTTAATAAAATTTTCAAATATCATTTCTTACTTTTTCCTTTTTTATTGTTGGCATGAATACATATTCAGAGTTTAATAAAAGAATATTTCACTATCTCTACTTCCTTTCTGATCATTATTATATTAATTCCATTTCATGATTTCTACTGAAAATAATTTTCTCACACAAAGGGGAGGCGTAAAATATCCATTCTGGATGTCAAGTATGTTAGGCGCACCATCAGTTTGTTCAATCACCTGTCAGTTTTACTCTATAGCAAAGGCAGTGTCCAAAAAGAGAATATAAACCAAAACCCAAATAAACTGAAGAATTGTTGCTACCAAGAAAACTTACAACACTTTAGATCAAGCTTGTCCAACCTGAGGCCTGTGGGCCACATGCTGCCCACGATGGCTTTGAATGCGGCGCAATGCAATTTAGAAACATCTTAAACCATTAAATTGTTTTTGCAATTTTGGATTTTTTAGCTCATCTGCTATTGTTAGTGTTAGTGTATTTTATGGGTAACCCAAGACAATTCTTATTCTTCCAATGTGGGCGAGGGAAGCCAAGAGATGGGACACCACTGCTTCAGATAACTCACATAATAAACCTGTTCCCTCCATTAGCAAAAGTAAGATGTTCTTTTAAACAGTTCTTTCCACTGTCAAAGTGATGGAACTTTCCTGGTACACTGTAACCCAGATATCTTTTACGGAAGTCAGCAGTGTCTTAACAGAAAGTTAGGAATTTTCACTTAAACTATTACTATCTAATTGTGCAAAATCTTTTTTTAAAATTATATACTTTTTATTGTGGTAAATAGGTAAAAAACAATTTGCCATTTTAATATGCTTAATTTAGTGGCATTAATTACATTCACCATGTCATGCAACCATCACCGCCTCCAAAAATTTTCAGCACACCAAAGAGAAACTCTCTACCCATTAAGCAATAACTTTCAATTCCTCACTGTCTCTCGCCCCCGGTAATAAAGATCTACTTTCTCTCTGTGAATTTCTCTATTCTAGGTGTCTCATGTAAGTCAAATCATTTTTGTCCTTTTGTATCTGGCTTATTTCACTTATAGTGTTTTAAATGTTTATCTATATTGCAGCATGTATCAGAGCTTCATTTGTTTGTGTGGCAGCCTATTTTGTCATTTTTTAATATAACTCCACAAAACTTTAACAACGAAAATGATTCTCTTTTTCCACATACTGATCAACAGACAATCCTCAGTAAGGAATACTGTAAAGCAATGTAGATATCAGAGTGACTAACGATGTTGTGTTACTGTTGGGTTGATGAATAACCACCAGTAGGATTGCCTGACAGTTGGCCAGCCTTGTTAATCATCAGCAGCAACTCTTAATAACTACTAAAATGTTTGAAGTAATAATAGTATAAATAATATTTTGAGATATCTGAAGTAACTCTGAGATATAAAAATTGTATATATTTCTTATTGGACACAAAATTACAGGTACTACTAATGCTACTACTGTTGTTTGTTGCCAAATTCATGATTTAAAGAATCATTAAATTTAAAAAATTCAATAGTAAATAAAGATGTAATTTTCCCCACTCGAGTTCAGGAACCCTTAGACCCAGGTTAAGAACCCAAGCCTTAGAGCAAGTTTTAAGAGGAAAGAGAACATTCCATGATTAACATGAATGGTCTTGATAATTTAACAAAATTGGCATCAAATTTCAAATTTGCCAGTTATTAACTATATGAATTTCTCCAAATGTGCTAATCTCAATTCCTTTCCTTTAAAATGGAGTTCCAATAGTAATTTCTTAGGGCTCTTGGGAGAAGATATAAATGATGTAAAAGCTTAGAAAGCATATAGCACATTCTGACACATAGAATCACTCATATATTAAGTATAATTATCTCTTTTGGTTGAAAAGTAGTGTGAAATACCGCAAAACAAGCTTTGAAAGAGGCTTATAGTGAGATTAGTTAATACAAAGACACCTCCACAGAAACTACTGTTTCAAACTACTATTTCAGAACAAAATGATGAAGATGCTAAGCTAAGGCCTGGGAGGATGACGCCTCAGCTGCCAATTGCAGCTCACCACTGCCATTCTGTGGCAGCAGTCCAGCAATTGTTTCAACTTCCTGACAATGGAATCTACAGGTGTCAGTTTGGGACCTGTTTTACTTTTAGCTTGTAGTAGCTTTTGCAGTTAAAAAGTAAATAAATAAAAAAGATTGAATAATTAAAACTTATTTTAATTCAGTCTAGTAAATATACTAAAGCTAATTTGTGCATGCTAACCTTTGATCCTGGAA